TGACTCACATTTCTAAAATCTTTCTATTGTTACTATTACAAATTTCAACATTAGATCAAACTAGCCTTATATTGAAGGAAGTATATTTACAAGCTGAGTCTTGGACTTTACAGAGGCAAATACTGTCTATGATTTGCAAGGACAGGACTTTTGGAGAGATGAAGGAAGTAAGATATTTTTATTTTGGGATGTCCTACAGAAATAGAAAAAAATATTTTTTGGTACTAGCTGCTTTGTGTGAAATATATATATAATATATAGGCATCTGTTACTACATTTGTGTGTTTGCCATAAAACACTATTTATATTCTCAAATATTTAGAGTGTTATGATACAGTGCTCAATTGGTCCGTTTGGTTTTTATTGAAACTTTAACAGTTTTTTTAATTTACAAAAATCATTTTTATTGGTCAATCAGCAAAGAACAGATTTTTTGTTGTTTTTTTGTTGTTTGTTTTTGCCATTACAAAATGTAATAACTGGAGTTAACAGATCTTAATTCAGATGTTATATTAGTGACAGGTAATAATTTAGCTTCTAGATTTACAGTTATATTAATACATAAATTACCTGGCAAAATAATAAAAATATTTTACTTTATCTCTTTTTTCAGGTATTACCTAATGTGTCAGCCTGGAAGTTCAATAAGGCCAAGCACCATACAAATGATGTTGGATGTGGTATGCCAGTTGTACAGGAGAAAAAATCTAGGAACAGGGTAGATAATGAAAAACTGGAACATTTTATTGATTACATACTGTCATCTAACATTATAAAGGATTTGCCTTATGGTACAAAGACCATGAAACTTTCTTCAGGAGAGATTGTTGAAGTTCCAAACCTCATAAGAAGCTTAGCACCATCCTCACTGATTACCCAGTACATACAATATTGTGAAACAGAGGATATCAAACCATTAGGTATAATAGAATATTAACTGTAACAATTGGTCTTAGCTCACGGGGTCAAAATTATTATTTGAACTACTACATGTAAAAAAAAAATTGTGTAGCTGTAATGGAATACTAGGTGTATAACTCCAAATGAATGCAAGCCAATATGCACCCTTCCTAATACTCAGTGTTTTCCAGAAGTGAAAAATGACCCTATTCCTATTGAAAAAGGACAGGAAAATAAGATTTTGGCACCTGAAAGTTTTTATACATAAATCATGTAAATGTTACATATATGTTGGTATTTTTGTTTATTTAAAATATGTCTATTATATATATCAAATTAAATAAAACTATAGCACAGAACATAGTTTAAAATGAAATAACCACATGAACATTGATTTTATCTTCCTCCCACTTAAAATTGGATCTAACTTAGCTATATTAATATGCTATTGTAAGTTATAAACTGAAAGTAAGCATTTTATCTCAGAACATATCTTTAAGATTCAAAATTTACACTTCATATTACAGGTACCTCAGCATTATACAGGATTTTAACTGATTGTTCTGCATCTGTACGAAAATGTATTGAGGGATTAGACTACTATGTGGCTGAAGGGGGAAGATCTTTCCTAGACCTGGAAAACATTATAGAAAAATAAGAGATCACTGATGAGAAAAAGAAAGAGATGATTTCATGTCTTCTTAGTGGTAAAAGCTATCTAAAGTCAGACTTTAAGGTAATATATATAGAGTATGCAGAAAATAAACCAGAATATTTTGACTAAGGTGCTAAAAGAACTAAAGAGTTTTACTGCTAATAGTCAACAGTGTTTAATTAATATTGTAAGACTCCCACCTAGCTGCATGTAAGTTTCACATTGAACAATAATATTGGAAATTTGTTAAAAAAAACTTGAATGGCTAATAAATCAAAACATGGGCAATATGTTCCTCATAATTTCATATTAAATTAAAATTTATTTATGGCAAACCATTGTACTTTTTATTCTAACTTTAAGATATCTCATATAATATGTAAGATATATCATATAGTATGTAAGATATCTCATATGATTTATAAGATATCTCATATAACATTTAAAATATCTCAATTAATATAGTTTTTATAAGACATATCGTATTAACTTTATAAAATATATTATATATACTTTATAAGATATCTAGATATTTTCTAAAAACTTTTATATAAAATAACTTATTAATATTTTCTTATGTAGGATATCTTATATAATTTATAAGATATCTCATAGGGATAGTTTATTAGATATCTCATAGAGATAGTTTATAAGATATCTCATAGAGATAGTTTATAAGATATTAAGAAAATTATATGCCATATCTTATAAACTATATGAGATATCTTATAAAGTTTATCAGATATCTTAAAGTTCCAATAAATAGTAAAATGGCTTGCCATAATTATTACTTTTGCATACCTGCCAACATTTCAAAATGCCCATGAGGGTTTTACATGCAAGATGGCTCTCATAGTCCTACAAAACCATTAAAAGGGCCTTCAAATTTAGTTTAATGATGTTAATTTGCTCCTTCATACTTTTACAATCCTATACCCATGGTATTGATTGTTTTGTTCCAAATTGTGGACAAAATTACTCTTTCAAAATTTCCATTTGGGAGCTTTCATGTGGGAAATCCCCCACAAATAGTGACAGTTGGCAGGTATGCTTTTGTGCTGATCAACCATCCAACAATAAAATAGAACTTTAGAGGAAATATGTTCAAAAGTGGCAACCATACATAAATGATCTTTGCAAGATCAACTGTTAATTTTATGCCATCAGCCATCCAACACAGATGTAACATAGGACACTATCATTTCCAAATAATGTTTGTTAATATACATGATATATGCAAAGCCTTCAAAAATTGTCAAATATAGACTTGAGTTACTGGAACAAATTATTTTAAATTGGTCACAGTCATACAGAAATATGTCTGCAATGCAGGAATCTTGATGAAATCTTGAATGAAATTTCCACAATTGTTCAGAATGTCAACTGGGAAAACAAAGATGCAGTACTTTTTCAGGTACTATACATGTTTTTTCTACTGTAAAATAATTATAACATGATTGCATCATTATGTAGTTATGATTTAGAATGTTCTTGTGGCATGTTCTTAGTACATGTATCCAGGATACAACTCACTATTTGACCATTAGTCAAGTAGGTTATCATTATGCCATTTCATTGAGAGAGGTTTTCCCTTTTTTAAATATTTTTGTCTGATGAATGCAGTATCTGTGTTTATAATCATTTTTTTTGTAAATAGATGGTTGATGAGAATGCACAGGAAAACATGGACATTTTAATCATAACATAGTCAGTCTGGTATACCTCTGTTCTTTGAGTAGGGCTTAGAATGACTTGATGAGTTATAATGTGTGACAACTTGCTTGCATTGTGAATGGTCTTACTTGTCAATTTTTTTTTTTTTTTTTTATATAATGTGTATAAACTTTAAATTATTTGTCTCAATGAAATAATTTGATATTTGATAACAAGTGGAATATGCTTGAAGTATTGCAACTTCTTATTTATTAATCTTCTAATAGGTTGAGTCAGCTGTTGATAGCATTACAGACTGGAAAGCCCATATAATGAGATCACGAAACCAAGAGGATGCAAGGTTAGATCTTGTACGAGAATTGAAAGATGGACAAGTATTAGTGACCTGCGATTGGGCAATGAAGATGTTGCCAAGAAAATATAGGGAGGGCCAAACCGACTGGTTTGCAAAGAGAGGCCTGAACTGGCACATTTCTGTGTCAGTTTTTAAAGAACAGGGAAACATCAAAAACTTCACACATGTGCATATATTTTCAGCTCAGGTATGAATTCTAGATTTCGACTTGCTTTAATAACATTTAATTCACTCATCAATTATTTATGTTACTTTTCAAATATTGTGTAAAGAACATGTTGTCACTGCATACAACAAACTATGTAGTAAATGTGCATAAAACAACATGTAAACACACATACAGTGAAACAATAACAACACTAGAGGCTCACAAGAGCCTGTGTCGCTCACCTGATTCTACTTCGGTTTTGGAAATCATGTAAAAATATATCAAAATCATAACAGATACCTAATAATGAGTGAGGCCAAATTTGGTTTAATATTGGCCCTGGCCTGTAATTTAATAAAAAATCCTGGTGGCCATCTTGAACAGTTAATCGGCTTCAAAGTAACAACACTTGGTCAGCACCTCATAAGGAACATTCATGCCATGTTTGGTTTCATTCCATTCAGTGGTTCTCTAAAAGAAGACATTTGTATGTATTTCCCATAGGGTCCTATGTTAAACTAAGTCCCTCGCTGGCGGCCATCTTGGATGATGGATCGGCTTCAAAGTAACAACACGTGGTCAGCACTTCATAAGGAACATTCATGCCATGTTTGGTTTCATTCCATTCAGTGGTTCTCTAGAAGAAGTTCAAAATGTAAAAAGTTAACGACGACGGACGACGACGACAGAAGACTGACGCCAAGTGATGAGAAAAGCTCACTTGGCCCTTTGGGCCAGGTGAGCTAAAAAGCAATGCAACAGCACTTTTATTGTTTTTTTCTGGATCAGGAAGAAACCTTGAGGCCTTCAACAAAAAGAAACAAAAAGAAAGCACCAAACAGTAGTCTACATCTATGTCTGTTTTACTCACAGATGGAGGGCTATCAACAAATTACAGAATAACTAACAAGATATGTTTACAAACTCTTTTGTCAATTACAGGACAATTGCGCTACAATAATGACAAGAGAAATTTGTAAGAATAATTGTCAGGAAGTAGGAAGAATTTATGTGCACATGTGTTGCAAAGAAAAACAGAAAAAAAGTAGAAAAACAAACATTTTGCCCATATTTTTTGTTTCAAATTTAAGTTCAGAAATACTTGTAAAACTAGCTATTTGTCTTGTCATCATTTGTCTTATTTAGTCAACTTTTGGTTATTCAGATATCTCAAAGATACTGTTGCTGATCTTCATACCTTGATACCAGATATTCAAGAAATCCACATATATTCAGACAATGCAGGATGCTATAAAAACACATTAATGATGGCTTCACTCAGAAGAGATGTTGGAAATAAACTCAAATCGTACAGCTTTTCAGAAGCCCAGGATGGCAAAGGTATAACATGCAGCATCTTTTATATATATACTTGACAAAAAATGCATATAATTAATTTACCGGTAAATCATTTCAAAACATTTTTTGTTTCAACATTATGAGGACTGCTTACAGAAAATTGGCAAAATAGCAAATGAATTTCTCTACAAAATGGGAATTATACAATTTAAACAATAAATTTTCTTTCTATATGGACTCACAATATACCAGTATATTCTGGACTTATTCAAACTATTTGACGTAATGGAAGAACTTACTAGATGGATAAATATAAAAGTGCAAATTGAACTACCACTTAACTTAGACATAAAAAGTAGTTTAATTTAGGATATTAGAACAAAACTGAAAGAATCCTCATAACATTGTTGACTAAATATTATATATACAGAACAAAAAAGCAAAGCAGACAAATAAATAGGAAAATCTATAGAAAATAAATAATAAAGTATTGCGAAGAATTTCTGTTCTCTAACTTGAATTTGCCTTACCCAAATGTTCTGAAACTTATACATAATGATTATTACTACAAAACACAGATCAAGTGTGAATTTTGTTGCTGTAACTTTTACCTTTCTAGAGTTGTGTCCCTTTACAAATAGAAAAATTGCATAATTTTTCATTTCTGTTCTCTTACTTCAGTTGGCTTCCTCCAAATGTTATGAAATTTCATGTTTTGATATAACCCATTGACATGACCCACATCAAAATTAAAGTTGAAAAGATGACGCTGTCTGCAGATTTCTGTGCAAATACTAATTAATTTGCTTTAAAATAGTTGCATTTTGTTTCTTTATTTTAGGGCCATGCGATCGTAGAGCCTCCCATATCAAGTCAGTTGTGAAGAGATACATAAATGAAGGTCATGATGTCACTTCAGCTGAAGAAATGAAAGTAGTATGTATATATAATGACTTTGTAAATATATCCCTTCATCTTGATATCTGATCATTGTTTTTTTTTAAACTAAACAGACTTCATTAGTGCTTTAAACCATGAATTGATGGACATCACTTCAGTGACAAAACAGTGCTAAAAAGTTTAGTGATTTCTCTTTTCCTGTATTTGTGTCTGTTTAGACATGTATTTTTTATGGTACAGACACAAGTGGATGCCGACTTTGTTACCTGCTCTTGTTAAGAAATTACTACATAAAATAATAAAATGCTCCGCTGGGCGCAGCTTGATACGACCGCAGAGGTCGAACCCTGAGCAGTTGGAGCAAGTATGGACACAACATTCAAGCTTGATACACCACTGAATTTGGATTGTGATTAAATATTTGACACAGAAATTTAAAATGGAAAATTTTAAAGAAAAAAAAGGAAAAAAAAAATTCCCACAATGATTCATCACCTCAATCCCAGCCTTCCCTTTGTGGTATGGTATCTTGCAGTCAATTTCAGAGAGATCCATACACTTGAACACAAGTTATTGTCTGGAAACTAGAAAAATGCTTGTTTTTTGGCCCCTTTTTTACCCCAAATTCCTAAACATTTAGGGCAATTACCCCCAAACTCAAACCCAGCTTTCCCTTTGTGATACCTTGTAGTACAATTTCATAAAGATCCATACACTTACACACAAGCTATTGTCCTGAAACTAGAATAAAATGCTCCGCTGGGCGCAGCTTGATACTACCACAGAGGTCGAACCCTGAACAGTTGGGGCAAGTATATGGACACAACATTCAAGCTTGATACAGCACTGAATTTGGATTGTGATTAAATATTTGACACAGCATAGGTTTCTGACACAGAATGAATGTGGTCTAAGAACTTAAAAAAATTTTAATTTACCTATTCAAACCATATCATTATTATTTGCTTTTATATATAAATCAGAAATTACCCAAAGAAAAAAAAAATACCTCCCCTAAATTTTTGGCCCCTTATTCCTAAACGCGTTTTTGGGCAATTACCCCCAAACTCACTTCCAGCTTTCCCTTTGTGATATGGAACCTTGTAGTTCAATTTCAGAAAGATCCATACACTTACACACAAGTTATTATCATGAAACTAGAAAAATGCTTGTTTTTTGTCCCTTTTTTGGCCCCTAGTTCCTAAAGTTTTGAGGCAATTACCCCCAAAATCAATCCCAGCATTCCCTTTGTGATATGAAACCTTGTGGTACAATGTCAGAGAGATCCATACACTAACACACAAGTTATGTCTGGAAGTTACAAACTTGCTTACTTTTGGCCCCTAATTCCTTAACTGTTGGTACCATAACCCCCAAAATCAATCCCGACCTTCCTTTTGTGATATGGAACCTTGTGGTACAATGTCAGAGAGATCCATACACTAACACACAAGTTATGTCTTGAAGTTACAAAAATGCTTATTTTTGGCCCCTTTTTGGTCCCTTATTCCTTAACTGTTGGTACCATAACCCCCAAAATCAATCCCAACATTTCTTTTGTGGTATTGAACCTTATGGTTAAATTTCATGGAGATCCATTCCCTGAATCTAAAGTTAGAGTGCGAAAACCAATGTGTCTTCGGACGACGACGATGCCGGACGACGACGACGCCAACGTCATACCAATATACAACCAAAAAATTTATAATTTTTGCGGTCATATAAAAATGCTTGTTTTTTGCCCCTTTTTGGCCCCCAATTCCTAAAATTTTGAGGCAATTACCCCCAAAATCAATCCCAGCCTTCCCTTTGTGGTATGGTACCTTGCAGTACAATTTCAGATAGATCCATACACTTGAACACAAGTTATTGTCTGGAAACTAGAAAAATGCTTATTTTTGGCCCCTTTTTGGCCCCTTCTTCCTAAAGGTCTTGGGCAATTACCCCTAAACTCAGTTCCAGCTTTCCCTTTGTGATATGGAACCTTGTAGTTCAATTTCAGAAAGATCCATACACTTACACACAAGTTATTATCATGAAACTAGAAAAATGCTTGTTTTTTGTCCCTTTTTTGGCCCCTAGTTCCTATAGTTTTGAGGCAATTACCCCCAAAATCAATCCCAGCATTCCCTTTGTGATATGAAACCTTATGGTACAATGTCAGAGAGATCCATACACTAACACACAAGTTATGTCTGGAAGTTACAAAATTGCTTATTTTTGGCCCCTAATTCCTTAACTGTTGGTACCATAACCCCCAAAATCAATCCCGACCTTCCTTTTGTGATATGGAACCTTGTGGTACAATGTCAGAGAGATCCATACACTAACACACAAGTTATGTCTGGAAGTTACAAAAATGCTTATTTTTGGCCCCTTTTTGGTCCCTTATTCCTTAACTGTTGGTACCATAACCCCCAAAATCAATCCCAACATTTCTTTTGTGGTATTGAACCTTATAGTTAAATTTCATGGAGATCCATTCCCTGAATCTAAAGTTAGAGTGCGAAAACCAATGTGTCTTCGGACGACGACGATGCCGGACGACGACGACGCCAACGTCATACCAATATACGACCAAAAAATTTATAATTTTTGCGGTCACATAAAAATGCTTGTTTTTTGCCCCTTTTTGGCCCCCAATTCCTAAAATTTTGAGGCAATTACCCCCAAAATCAATCCCAGACTTCCCTTTGTGGTATGGTACCTTGCAGTACAATTTCAGAGAGATCCATACACTTGAACACAAGTTATTGTCTGGAAACTAGAAAAATGCTTATGTTTAGCCCCTTTTTGGCCCCTTCTTCCTAAAGGTCTTGGGCAATTACCCCCAAACTCAATTCCAGCTTTCCCTTTGGGATATGGAACCTTGTAGTACAATATCAGAAAGATCCATACACTTGCACACAAGTTATTGTCATGAAACCAGAAAAATGCTTGTTTTTTGTCCCTTTTTTGGCCCCTAGTTCCTAAAGTTTTGAGGCAATTACCCCCAAAATCAATCCCAGCATTCCCTTTGTGATATGAAACCTTGTGGTACAATGTCATAAAGATCCATACACTTACACACAAGTTATGTCTGGAAGTTACAAAATTGCTTATTTTTGGCCCCTAATTCCTTAACTGTTGGTACCATAACCCCCAAAATCAATCCCCACCTTCCTTTTGTGATATTGAACTTAAGCTAAAATTTCATAGAGATCCATTCACTTAAATAAAAGTTAGAGTGCGAAAACCAATGTGAATGTGTCTTCGGACGACGATGCCAACGTCATACCTATACGACAGCAAAAATTTTTTGCGGTCGTATAAAAACCCTACTTATGTATTGTAATGTGTCGTATATAAATGTGTTTTCAGACATGTACATTATAATACATGTATCAACAATGTATATTTTTTAGGCCATAGATGCAAGACAAAATGGACAATTTAGAGTAAAAGTTGTGGACACAGTAACTGTTAGCGATGGTGAAAAGAACAATACTAAATCAATTCCAGGAATTACCCAACTTCATAACTTCCAGTTTGAGTCTGGTGGATTGAGAGTATGGAAAGCTTACACAATAGGAAAAGGTAAAGGGTTCTGTGAATTACATAAACATACTTTCTCATATACCAGTATAAATAAGAAGATGTGGTATGAGTGTCAATGAGACAACTCTCCATCTAAGTCCCAATGTATAAAAAGTTAACAATTATAGGTCAAAGTATATCATGCTTTATCAGTAGATGTTTTAAGAAGTATTTATAATTCAGGCCAGTAATTTGATCACTTTAACCTTGAAACAATTCAAGCTTTTGAGGCAATATACTGTTAGGTATTGCTTGTCCATCCATCTGTCCCTCACTAAGCCATCACAAGTCATGAAAATGATAACTGTAAGCATAAGTGTGACCAATATTTTATGCATGTATGACTTGATGACTTTGCTAAGTGTTACATTCATATCTAAGGGTACGTTATCATTTAGCTCCTATTTGTAGAAAAAATAATTATTTTATTTTATTTTAGGACAACTTATTCCTTGGAAATCACTTGGGTCTCCACCAAAGGCAACTGAACTTCTTGTGAAACTGAACTGGACAAATGAGGAAACAGTCAGCAGATCTTTGAATACTGAAAGTAAGGAACCCTAAATAATAATGTTGCATTCAGCTGGCAGTATGTTATAATTAGGAAAATATTAAATCAGACAGGGAAAATATTTCCTACTGTATGAGATTAGCATTGCACTAATATTGTAGTTATTATACTGAATGTCATTGGCTAAATTTTTAATAGATGTCATGATTGAAAATGAAACCTCTGTGCATTTACCTACTTTATTAAATTTGTAACATGACCCTAGAACTAAGGCTTAGAGAAAAGATACAGATGACTTGTTAATGTTATTCATAAAAGCAGACAAAGATGCCTAAAAAACTTTGAGTGGGCCTTCAAAATGTTCAATACTTAGACAGCCTAAAGAAAAAGACAGATACAAGCACACAGGAACACATGAAGACATGCACACATATACACAACTATGAAAACTAAAGCTTTGACAATATAAACAATAAAAAACTGCAGTGATAATGCTCCTGGACGGGTAGGTAATTTCTGCTCAACATGTGATAACCCTCATTTTAATTAATGCCTAATTAATTGTAGGCCTGAGTAATATATTTGACAATTTGATCCTTTTTTTAAAGATGAAGACCCTCACCCTAAACCAAAGAGAAGGAAAATTTCATATGATTGTCCAAAAGATGGCTGCATCAAATCATTTAGCTCAAATGAGACATTGGATAACCACCTTCTGTTGGGAGATTGTAACTACGAACAAGTCATTTCTGTGCATGACAAGGCTAAAATTATGTATGGCACAAAAGTAAATAGCCTTTTCATTAATACCCAGTCAGTGTCAATACCATCAGACTCAATTGCAGGAGAAAGTGGGCTGCGTCAGGGATGGGCACTGAAAACCAAGAAAAAAAGAGTAATTTTCACTGAGGCTCAGAGGAAATACATGCATAATAGGTTCTACGCAGGAAAAAGAACTGGCAGTAAGGTAGATCCTTTTAGAGCTGCAGAGGAAATGAGAAATATGAAGGAAGAAGATCAGTATCAAAAGGAATGATTATTTGACTGGACAACAAATTTCTTCCTATTTTTCAAGACTCGCAATGAAAGACAGGAATTCTGAACCTGGGGATTTTAAATCTGCTGAAGAAGAAGACAGCAAACATGAACTGAAAATTAAAATTTTGCAGCAACTTGCTAAATAAGCTCAATTTAACTATATTTCAATGCTACTTTATATTATCTTATCTGTTATTCGTCAATGATTCATTTTACACTTTAAAAAGATAAAGTAAAGCTGTCAGTTTGGGCTGAATTTGGTCTTCTTTACAATTTTTGTTTTTTATACAACTTCCGAAAAAATAATTTAGGGATTAATATTATTTATGTGAGAAAAAGAAAGACACCTGAAGATTTATGCTCCATGTTGGAGGCCATAAGGTAACCCTAAATTGCTTACATCAACAACGTTAGGTCTTTGATGTTGATTTGTCTCATTGGCAATCATAAGTTATCTTCTTATTGTTATGTTATTAAAAAAAATGTTGTTCTATATGAAATAGACACGAATTAAAACAGACAAGATATAATATAGAATAACTGGAAAATGTTTCACACAAAGTTTATTTATATGATGTAAAAAGGCAGTTAGAAATAGGCTTGCCAAGCATTTCTATCATGTTGCATGCTGAGTGTAAAAACCATCTAAGCCTGTGATCTCTATATTGCAAAACTAAATTCTTCCAAGAATATATAAAAAATGGACGAAATGTGTGATTTGGACAATGTTTAAATTTTGCTAATGAAATCAAATAATCATACTATTGAAGGCATAATATGGTAAGTTATTGTATATCATTTCTGTTTATAAAGTCAATACAGTTTTTCTTAAAAAAAAAAACAATCAGCAAATAAGTCATTTAAAAATGAAAATAATACTCAATGGTAGGCGCAATACAAAAGACTATCAAAATATAGATCAGCAACCATATCCCATCAAAAAGTAGTTAAACTCAGATTCTTTAGAAGAGTAAGAAGATTATTTTGCCTATTAAAGTCACCTGTTTGTCAAGTTCTGTTAAAAAAAACGTGATCATAGAGAATCTGATCAAGGGCGAATGGAAAAATCACGAGAAACAAGAATTTTAAAGCTTATGTTAGTATTGTTGCTATGGTGATATACTGTTTCTATGGTATATTTTACATAGCTGTTAATCAGTATTAAAATATGCATCTGTCTAAATATTATCCATAAGTAAAATTTCATTCATAGTTATCTTTATGTATTTTTTTATTCATATAAATTACTTGATTTTTTGAAAAATTTTATGTTACTATGGTAACAATTTGTTGTTATGCACACAAAACTAAGGCATTCCTTTTATTTTGAATCTTTTTTCTTTATAATTTGAATACCCCACAGTGATCCATATAACTTCTGATCAATTATATGAGTAATTGTGAAAAACAAATTAAAAATAAAGATCATGGTTGTATTGGCTGAATTTGACCTAATTCCAATTCATGCTATTTTTAGCATGATTTTTAATGGGTCATCCATCGAGACCCCACTTATTTTATTTTTTTTCTGAATTTATTTATGATATACCTACTTGGTGAACAAAAGATCAATTCCAATTTGTGTTGACAACTTTTAGTAAAATTAGATTAAATGATGCCAAAAAATGCAAAATTATGAAATTGTAGATTTTCTGAAATTAGCACATGTTCGTGCGATTTATTTCTTGAGAATGTGTTAAACTGGAATGATTGAGATGTAGTAAAAATATTACCAATAAAGTATACAATGCATGAATGGGAATGCATTTCCTTCAATATTTAGTTGTTTGGTTTTATTTAAGACTGGAAAATGGTCTTTTTCACTTAAAAAAGGCCTAAAACAGAGCCGAAATTTAATGGTTTCCGTAACCATGATAATGCACCAAGTTTTTCCAAATTTGTTTTCTTCCAGTAATGTTATATGATGAGATGAGTAATTTGACAAAGTATGACTGAATTCTAAGAACATGCATTTCCAAGCTCCTATTTAATTAGTATGGTCCTTACAGAGAATTGGTATTAAATACGGTGGAGTTCGTTTACATAAGAATTTAATCATATACGTATCCGACCGATCGGTGCATATAATTAAATTTCTGATCGATCGCTGACCGTTGTCACGGTAACTCTCACATAACTTATTTGACGTATCTGACGGATTCTATGGGTCATCGATCACCGATCATTCATCGATCAGTGCAACATCCGTCACCGATCCTTCATCGATCAGTCAAGTCCCCGTCTAACAGTAACGCCTAAGGTTTCAAGTACTGTATGTCATGACAGTTGTTAATATTTATATTTATATTTACAAAATCGAATGAGCAACAAATACAGTCTACGCCTTGCTATTAATTTGGAAACAACAAAAAAACAAGAAGTTTGGATTTGTAATAAGAAATATAGGAGATATGATTTAAATCAACACGATAATTTATTCTCTGACAGAATAATTTATAAAATATTGGGTATTATGTTTATGTTGTTTTGGATAAAATCATTGCATATAATGAAATAGTCTCATAAATCAAAAATGTTATTAAGCTACAGTCAAAATGAAATCATATCATAAAAGGTTGAATTAAAATTGTCAATCTCAAATAACCTCATCTTTATATTGCCTAATCGAAACCAAGAACTTTGCATGCATAAAAATACATGTTTTAAAGATTTCTTCTGTGCATTAAACATTTTATTGATCAAATAGAAAACTATCCATGTGAATATTTTCATGTCAATATTTTTGAACACATATTACTTTGTCTCATTACGATATTTTAAAACGAATCGTTGTTAATTGTTCTGTATCTGTCTTTACCACTTCTGAATATGGATGGGCACGTCACAGATTCATTTCGGCTATTGTGTGACGGGTTAATCTGCGCACAAGTTAGTTACGCTTGCTGAGGAGTGCTGATTTAAACTCCTCGGTTGTAGTGACGCACACTATTGAGTCCTCCAGATGGTTCAAATCTACTACAGTGCGCACAAAAATAGAGTTTTTGAACTAGTCGGTTTTACTATTTGGAACTATGACCGCTCGTTTGTTGTTACGGACTTGTTGGTCTATAATGTTCTTAGTAACAAAGTTATTGTATGTTGTTGCTCTGATTTGTCGTTTAGATCTGTGGAATTTAATAAGGTCGTCCGGAGGGAGCGCTGGTATCTTCCCCTCAACCACTTTGAAAAAGAAAATCATTCGTTGCTGTTGACGTCTTGATTGTAATGACGGAAGCTGAAGTTCTAATACTGTAAATTCAGAAATTATTGTGATGCCTTTTTTATTGCGAAAAATGCATTTTTGTCATACATCCTTCATCTCTTGATTTGTAGTCTTTGGTGATAAATCTGGCCCCTCTCTTGTTGTTTTGTAATTTCAAATTAAACTAATCGTCGATTGTATTTAATATAATAGTTATTTACAGTTTTTGAAACTGACCAACGATAATGATGACGGATTGTGTTTAAGTCCAGTTGCAAGTGTTGAATAAACAGAAGAGAGCATGTTAATGTGATATGACTATGAACACTGTTTTGTACAAGACCAACACTCGAGCCGGATGTATAACGTGATAATTGACAACATAATAATCAACAAACAGACATGTCATTATACTGAAGACATTATTCTAACTTCAAATCAAACAATCTTTATTTTTGCATTCAATGTCGCTTGCACAATCAAACAACATACACTGGAGGCAAGCACGTTACAATTTAACCACCAAGGCCATTTGGACTTATTTGAAATTAAACTTTGGAAGAAAGTCATAGTGACTTAAGTTACATGTTACATGTTAATGCTCTAGGAAAAAAAAACACTTGGGCGTTCCTCTGCATCTTTAGCATTCTAATCTAATTTAACATTTAATATCCAGAAGCGTTTCTTTCTCCTCAAATGTGTCAAATCCCTCAAAATGTGCCAAGTCGACGTGACTGTATTCCAAAACATTGCATTCGTGTTGTCTGATCCGATTAAGTGAACGTAGAGATTCCTGGTAAGAACAACATTTCATGCCTGATTTACTTTGTTTGGATCTATATATGTTCTTCCTAATAACAAATGGACTATGACGATGTGTCCATCTTTTACAGAACAATGTTAGGGAGTTTAATTGGACTGACATATAAAGGTTTACATGTTCATAGTATTTATACAATTATATAAAATTGAGCGATTTTTTAGAAATAATTTTGTGTTTTTGTTGTGTCGTTGTTCTCCTCTTATATTTGATGCGTTTCCCTCGGTTTTAGTTTGTAACCCGGATTTGTTTTTATCTCTATCGATTTATGAGTTTCGAACAGCGGTATACTACTGTTGCCTTTATTTATTATGAACAAACTATTCACTCTCAGTCAACAATACGCAAAGTCAACTTCTGAATTTGAAGATACCTTTTTTTTATTAATTAAAATTACTCTGAAACTGATTATGGCCATAAGGTTGATAATTTGTGAACACAAACCATTGATTCAGAACAAGCTTTTAAAATATTATACTCAGAACGGAATGATTGAGAAAAACATAACTAACTAATTCGATATTTCAAATGAGGTCAACTTTATTAAAAAAATGGTATTGAGCTAACGTTAGTGATTACAGATAAACTTTGAGATTTACATCTTAATTTTTAATAAATTATCAAGCGGATTTAGATGGTGACATACACATGATACATGTAGAGACCTTTAATGTAAACATGAACAATTACTTCCACGGATTAATTTATTTAGATCCGATTGTTTAGATACTGGAAAACAGTAGGTTTATGCTACAGTATACAGAAGAAATCAAATATTTGCTTAATCTGATTTGACAACTGGAATGCTAAAATTTCTACTGAAAATATACACAGGTCGAGTTTTTGGAACACTTGTTTATACAGCCACTTTATATTGGAAACAAATCTGAATATAGAAACCCCAAAACATTGTGAAAAGAATATTAACACTGTTCATGAAATACAAAACCAAATATAGAACATTATAAAAAAGTGA